GAGCTCGAATATATATATAAAGAAAATGTAAGGATAAAACTACTGATAAAAAAGTTATTGCTACGATGCCTTTCTGTAATAAAATGAGATGATCGAAGCGAAAGGTGGATAGATCGTGAAATAAAAACGCGGCGAACAGAATAAAAAAATTTCCCTTATTTCTCTCTCACATACATTAATACTATTTTCGAATTATCGTTCCAATATAACAGATTCATATGAAAATTGTAATATTCCTGGTGAATACTACAATTTGCACTATGCAAATTCACGATGTTTTTCGAAGAAAGCACCCGCGTCTCTCAACGTTCTTCATCCAATCAACATTCCAATATGTATATATGTTCTGCGGCTCAGCTGTGCGCGCGGAGGAGATAGTTGTCATTCACTCTTACAGCATTAATACAACTTGTAATTAAGTCGGTTAATTAAGTCAGTTAATTAATATCATTTATACTTGAAAAATTTATGACCCAAATAGCATTTTCGTCTAGGCTTAATTCGGAGATGCGAGCAGGCATAAATGGCAAGCTCTGAAAAACTGTGAGATTTTTCCAAGACAAGTATTAAACGATAACTAATTAAAGAGGAAGCAATCTCAAGAATTGTTAAAATCGTTTTCGGTTTTATGCGTATAAACTCTCTCAGAATTTTCACTTGTACCTCTTCGCATCCTCCAGATCCACGAAATTACGAAAGAGCGATCCGCGGAAGCGTCCCGCGCAGCAATGCGTAGTAGCGTAAATCGCGATAGGCACCGTCGGTCGCATCACCTCGTGTTCGAGGCACCCAGGAGTCGCACGATTCTTACGCAATACGGTGGATTGCAGGCGTAAAGCGATTACGCAGTAGGCAAGCAAATTTCACACTCGGACAGGTGGCCGAAATGTACAATAGCATAAAGAAATGAGTTCCTAACCGGTATTTCTGCGATACCGCGAAGAAATTTCGCGCGAAATGTAAAAAACAACTGTTGATAAAGTAAACTGACGAGACATCGTATGCGTATTACAATCAAAATGACGATAAATCAATCACGAAATTGTAACAATAATCGCGTAATATATTTACGCAACATGATTTATTTTTTACAATATGATCGTATACTTAATAATACTAATAATCGTACACTTAATAATACTAGAAACAGTATTTGATTACTAATAGAAATATACAATTTTTCTGAAAAAGACAAAGTTTTATCATATTTTACTTGTACTTTGATATTGCCGTAATTACCGCAGCTGTCATAATTTGTGGTTTGGTGGTGTTGTATTATAGGTGTAAGGCATTTTTGTCTCAAAAAATTCTTTGGTCTAAAGATATCTTGCTTATAGTTTAAATCCCGAATGAATAGCGACCATACCGAACGTAAGATTTTGATAAGTCACATTTCTGAATCCTGCGAATTCGATCATGTTCTGAAAATATAACAAAGAATATGAGAGCAAGTATAAATAAAAACCGCAACCTACATTAGCAAGTTGTTAAGTATAATAGTAAAATAGGCATAATAAAGGAGAGCTTAATGATTAAAATAAAAATAGAATTAAAATGAAACTACAGAAAGTTCTAAAAAAATCTCTCCTTACAACTCGTTATCGCAGTTTATGTGTGTACGTATAAGAAAAAATAAAATAAATATAAAGAAGTATTCTTTACCTTAAAATCCTCTTGTTTTGGAAATCTTCTTATGCTCTCTACAAGATATCGATAAGGTTTCCACTGTCCTGCGATTAGTTGTCCCATCACAGGTATTATTTGAAAGGAATATTGATCGTACAACCTGAAACAGACACCAAATAAATTTTTCTACAGATTGGTTCATGTATAATTATCTTTTTATAAGTTTTCTATAATTTAAAGGCATATATACCATTGTAAAGGTTTATTTTCGATATGACTAAATTCTAGGCATAAAAATCTCCCTCCCGGCTGTAATACTCTGTATGCCTCGGACAACACCTGTGTAAAAATAAACATAGATATATGTAACACACAACATAGATATGTTTAATATAAATTTAATATTCAGATGTTAAGACCTTTAGCTTAAAATGTGTAGCAGATATTCTTTAAAGATTAATAAATATAAATTTCATATACTTTAGTATCTTCATACAATGAATGACTGATTGAGCGATAAACTCATTACAAGCACCTTGTCAATACGCGTCACATTCCTTATACCAAACCCTATGGTATAAGCGGAGAAAGAATCATCCGGGAAGGAAAGCTTCTCCGCATCTTCTTGCTTCCACGTGATATCGCAATTAGCGTCCTGCGATAAACCTAGTCTACTCGCCCGTTTCTTCCCAACGTCTAGCATATGTTGATTTATGTCACACACAGTTACGTGGCTACGCACATTGTGCGGATTTGGCGTGTTCCTCAGAAAATTTATATACCGAAACGTAATGTCGCCCGTGCCACCGGCAGAGTCCAGGAGACGGGTGCCGTGCGTAGGTCCTAATTCTTGCATAAACATATCTTTCCAGATGCGATGGATACCCAGACTCATCGTGTCGTTCATCAAGTCGTAAGAATTGGCGACATTTTCAAATACGGTATACACTGCAAGAAATATTCAACATTAAGTGGCCGTTGTACATCCAAGATTTCAACAAGCTGCAAATGTTTGTGATCTCATCCGCTTGACAGCTGTCAATCTTTCACGGAAAAAAGAGAGGAACAAGAACAATAGAATCTTTACCTTCCTTTCCTTTCTCGCTCTCCTTAACCGTTTGAAAACCGAAGTGCGTCGACCTCTCATCGTCCTCCGATGGTGTCCTCGCCTCTTTCGAGTAACCGCGTCCAGCTGCAGCGGCTTTTAGACATCTGTCTAGTATCCGACCTTCCTTAATGATGTTCGCGCAGAGATTTTTACAAGCCATCGTACCAAACCACGTGTAGACGATCAGGTAAACAGTACCGTATGATCACATGGAGATCACATATGATACTTGACACGTTGACACTGGTCTGTTCGTTTCACGTGCACTTCCCGCACTCGCGATTGTCTCTCTTCCTTCCTCCGACGTCGCAGTGTAATATATCCATCTCGTTTCCGACGTGGACAGCGTGGGAGACAGCGTCGCAAGGTGCAAATCAGTGCAAATACAACAAACAAATCTCAATGGTCGTCGCGTGTTATCAATAGGGGTACTCAAATAAGTTTAACGGTTTGACAGGTTATGTCGGGTTAAAGTCGAGAAAAGTTAATTTTTAAACTTTGGGCGCGCTACTCTTTAAGATTATGCAAAATACATAAGTGACTCATTAACCTATCACAGTAATCTTTGGGTTAAAAGTTTAAAAATTAACTTTTTATCCGACTTTAACCCGACATAACCTGTCAAACCGTTAAATTCTAACTTATTTGAGTACCCTTAATGTTATCAAAAAAACACCGATAGATTGTGTCAATTGGCTGTCGAATGGAGCACGTCCCAGGGTCTGAAAACTTTTTCACCTGATAATCAATCGCGTCTGGTTATTGCAGGAGCACTGCAGTTAGTTGCTGTCGGCAGACGACGGTTGTGCGGTTGATAAGCAGCAGTCCAACGTCGATGGACCCGGTAAATTGGAGTGAACAACAGGATGCTCGGCTTTGTTCTGCCCAATGTCCAGAGAGTCGTCTTGTCCAGTCCGGCGGTGCGTTCCTGGCTGCCTTTACGAATGCCACGGTAAATATCGATATTTACAATACCGCTTCTGCGCTGTACTTCGATCCCCCCGTGCGAACACACTGTTGAGGGTGAAAAACGCTGGTTTAGGATTATGGTGCGTATGGGTGTTCGCCGATTCAAAATTGCAATTACAATTCACCTTGAATGACACCGTGTATTTTGGCGTTCGCCAAGTGGCCTTGCGCGTCGCTCGCGTGTACGATTAAAAAAAGAGAGTTCGGTCTGGAGTCTACTTACGTTAACGTGCTTCCCAATATTTATGTGAAATCTTCCACATGTGAGATATCTAAAGGTTGTTGAAAAAACAAATCTACGATTAATAATGTGCACTTTATAATTAGCGCTGCTTTCCATCGCGATGCCATCACTTTGCAAACAGTAGATTTTGTATATTTAATATCACACCTGTGTGATTTTAGGCATAATTAATTTTTATGTTTGTTTAAATTGTTTAATTTCCCTTGAACGTGACCTTATTTTAAGAAATATATTTTCTGAGGAAATATATTTTTAAATATATTTTCATTATGGTGCAGTTTGATGATGAAATTTTTGCGAGTACTTACCTCGTGCCTCTTTATATCTTATACATCTTATTGTTTCAGATTTGAAGGCAAGAATCCCGGTTTGAAAGTAAAATAGCAAGTATTTTAAACAATTATCAACTGTTAAAGAAATGCTGTTAACGTTTCTTTATATGATAGCCACCATCATGCAAGCACGAAGGATAACATTTCTAAAAGCGCACTTAGATGCCATCTTTAAGGGGAACCAGAATCGTCCTTCTTTTACGCTTAAAATTAAGTCATCTCGACGTTTAAAGAAAGGTAATTTTTATATGTATACACATATGCCAGATTTTATTATACAACTAACGAGTAACGTTACTTTTGCTCAATGTATACATAATGTGGTCTATGAATACCATAAAAAAATATCGCAAATAGAGAGAACTTTGTATCGTCAGAAAATTTATTTCATAGCCATGTTTTTATATACATATTGAGATTTTTAATTCACATTTATTAAAGGAGAAATATTACATCAAATAAATATGCATTGAGATATTATTGTATATTTATATCTTGTATAATGATTTTTTTAAGATCGCAATGGATACGAGCAGAATGAAAAGTTTTTGAGTTCTCACTTATGTACTAACAAGAATCTCGCGAAACTTGATGAACTATTGTGGTATGATGAAAGAGCGAAATTATATACTATATATCCTCAAGTAAGTACAATATATGGTAAATATTATTTCACTTATATTTGCAAGTGCGATAAAATGAGATTGACAACTATTATTTTATTTTAGCAAAAAGTTGACGTATCTAACTGGCTGACCTGTCCGTATGGAAATTCGTTTCCCCTATATATAAATAATAATTGCTGTCAGGTTTTAAGCGAATCTGACTTGCATATTCTCGTGGAAGTTGATATTGAAACTTACGGATCTAAGGCCTCAACGACTTCTGCAAAAGTACAATGTTCAAGTCTTTAATTATTAATTTTATTATTATGCATTCTGCATGTATAACTATATTAATTGTGTAAGCCTTTGAATCTGTATTATTATTTTTCGAATAAGTGAAATTCAAGATTTATCTCATGTTCTACGCATTGTTTTACAGCTTGAAGATTATGGTCTAATTGTGGCATGGACGGTATCGAGTAGAAATATGAACTTTATTTTAAAAACAGACCTAGAACATATTACGAGCTTCATAACTGGGATCATGCAGGGACAATATTGCATTAACAATGGCTTATTTATAAAACGTGTTCAATGTATATATCACTCTTGCATCTCGAAATCTAACATACTTCGATAACTTGACATTCACTTGCTTCATTTTGCTTTATTTTTTTTCAGCTGTTTTGGTATCGGGAAAACCGCGTATTTACAGTGATACTGGACACCTCGGTCCACCGCCAAATAAAAGCAAGTTGTAATAATTTAACTCTTGTATTTGTTGCGACGTATCTTCTAACGTGTAATGATTATATCACTATATACTTTTTACAGATAGTTTTTATGCATTATGCGATGCAGCCCAAGGAAAAACTTCCCAGCAGAAACACAAGCCTAAAGAGGTTGTTAGAGTACGTGGCATGAGTGTACATTCACAAGATAATAATTTGAACACCGAATTTACAGACGAATTCTTTGCAGAAGTTATGAAAGACATTGGTATGTTGGAAGGATATTACGCAATTGCCCGTAAAAAAAATTCACAAGTATAATTTTTATTTTTATATCTCTTAGATGCTAGTTCATCTAATTCTGCACCAGCAACATGTAATTCGTCACCAACCAAACAGCATGTAGGATTAACAAAAAAGCCATATGATTTGAACCATTTACCGGAGGATGTGTTCTTAGCTGTTACTCAAGGCACATCTAAAAATTATACTAACGTTCATTTACCTGACACGGAGAAAAAAGACAATACCGACGATGAAGAATCTGAACATACTGATCAAAGCAAGTCTACTAGAGAAACTGATTCCAAGTTAGTATAATATATCTAAAAGTAAAAAAAAGTATATATGAGGGTGGAGAATATTTAATGATATACTTTCTGTACTCATATTATGAACAATAGAAAAAAAAACGTGATTTTTATGAATCATATTAATTTACAGAAGTTCTGAATTGGAAGAAGAAGAAAAACCTAGTAAGGTGATTAAACCACCAAATGTACTCGTCTGTGCGGATAGCCTAAGCGCGACCGACAATTTACAGAATTTATTATCAAGAGTGCTAGAGGAAGATAGGTATGTTATGTTAGTTTTATATTATATGGATTAGAATTTATAAGTTTTAATAAGTTGTTAAAACTTAATGGTTTCAACAACTTGCTTCTGCAGTTAATTATCTATTTCAATAATTAGTTATGAACGATTGATTTATCTTTTCTAGGTATGTCATCCATGTATTTTCTAAAGGGGAATATGATCGTTGCAAGGTTTGGATAGATCAGGTTTCGTTGGTTGTTCTTTGCGGCAATGTTGGTGCAGAGCTCGGTGCTCATCTTGTAGAATACGTTATACGCGGAGGTAAACTCCTAGCGTTATGCTCCGACATGCTCCATATTTTGCTACCATCGTTCAAGACTGCGGAAGTGCGTGAAAATGAGCTCGTTGACTTTTCGTACGGTAAATGGAAACGAGTGCGTATGATGCATCACATTTTTTGCTACCACGCATCTCCCATACGAACTCGTTTTTCTCAAGATCACGAAGATATAAGGTAATATCTTCTCTGTATTAATAAAATAAAATATAATTATGTCGCGGGGAAAAAGAGAAAAATAATATCAGATTAAAATAGATACGAAGAAAAAGTAATTATCCAAGATGTTACTTTTGTAGGGCGTCTGCGCTGAATCCTCCAACGACGGCTAGCGTTAAGGACAAAAAAGGGAATTTACATTCGTTTGATGTAAAAGTATTAGGCAAAGAAGAAACGTGGCACAGTCCAAGCATATTGCTTGCAACTCTGCCTAGCAGTGGTGGTAAAGTTGTGTTCTCCCAAATACATTTAGAGATAGATCCAATGCAATATGTGTACGAGGGGGATAAATTTGATGTGTTGAAGAAGAGTAATGTTGCACGTTTGGAGATAATCAGCGATCTACTGAGCACACATTTAGGATTAGATGTAAATCGTGATACAAGTCAAAGATCTGTTCGGTACACTCCAGGTTACTTTTTAGGCAAATTTGAGGTACATAAATATATTTAAGAATGAACAATCCTGATAATAATATCTTAATTATATAATTAGCAGTTAAATGCTATGATTTATTAATGATACATATGTACACATACACAATATGACGTTATACATTCGTAGATGAAGCTTAAGATGCTTGAAAAATTAAAGGATAAAATGAGTGGGAATAACGTATTAAAAATGTCAGGAATGGAAATTCAATTTTGCGCAAACAACGAAAATGTGCAATCACCATCAGCTAATTTCCTTCCTATTATGATGCATATGTGCCCGCCTAATTTCTCGACCGTCGATTATTTTGAGGTAAATTCTTCTAATACATTTATATCATTAATTAGTGTACCAACCTTCCAATATATTAACAATAGTGCATATTTAGAGATTAAATCATTTTATGCACTGTGTGTAACTTTGACATATAGCTAAGTGAGTTGAAAAAAAAAAACAATTTTCATTATTAAATTCGAAATTTATTTTCAGAATCTCTATACAAAGGAATTAGGACGCTTAGTAATATACGCGGATGTCTTAACATCATCTATGAATGCGATCGACGCTCGATTAGAACACGGACTGACAGTTATTCCACGACAACAAGCAGATGGACGAGGTACTATTTTTTATTTTTGATTATATGCAGAAATAGTATAATGGCTACGTCATTTCCAGGGCGATATTCTAATAAATGGCTCAGTCCAAAGGGTTGTGCTATGTTCACTTTACAAATACATATTTCTATAATGTCGAGTATCGGTCATTATATCTCAATTCTTCAACATGTTGCTGCTGTAGCACTTGTGTCAGCAGTAAGATCTATTAAAGGATACGAGGTATTTTTTTTCATTTTTCTATTACAAACTATGAGAGATCCTCATCTCTATTTTTTTTTCATTTTCCTATTACAAACTATGAGAGATCCTCATCTCTATAAAAAAATTCTGACTTTTCATATAATACAATTTATTTTATGAAATTAATGACTAATAATTAATAACTAATTTATTTTAGGATATTGATCTCAGAATAAAGTGGCCTAACGACATATATATTGGTAATTCGATCAAGATTGGTGGTATAATCGTTTCTACGCTGGCGGAAGATGGTGGAGCAATGTTCATCTGCAATATTGGTATGTAACATCAATCACAAATAAAATATAAATTTTATGGATAATTTATCATAATTTAATCCACTTAAAACGAATGTAAATATATATTTCAGGTGCTGGTATAAATCTTTCCAATAGTAAACCCACAACTTGCATTAATGATGCAATTCTGCAATATAATCAAAAATATGGTACAAAGTTGGAAACGTTCTCTTGTGAAAAGTACTTGGCGATGGTATTCAATGAAATGGAAATTTTATTAGATATTCTACATAGCGGCAAAACAGATCACTTCTACCAACTCTACTACAAATATTGGTTGCATACGTAAATAGCCATCATACTTTAACTTCACTTTTTTAATGTTCATATAATAATATTTTCACAGTATTCACACATACGTACATACATATATTCTTTTTTAGAAATTCAAATGTCATGGTAACATTTATAAATGGAAGAAGAGAAAATGTTACGATATTAGGTATTGATAATTACGGATATTTGTTGGTACAAGGAAAAAAGGGCATGTTTACTGTACATTCAGATGGAAATAGTTTCGACGTTCTCAAGGGGCTAATAGTACCAAAAGAAAAATAGGGGATTATATATTCGTTAATTGTTACCGAGAATTATATCTACATGTTAAAATATGGATAATAAATATGTGTACATATAACAGTTTTGTAAATATTAGTACACACGTATCATGTATTACATACATATATTTTACATATGTACATATATAATATAAAGTTCTCTATATATGTATGTATGTATATATGAATGTATGTACATATGCATAAAACTTCATATTATATATGTGTATACGAGTGTGTATATATGTAACATATAATACAAAATTATACATACACACACGTGTATGTATATTATTTTTTTATTTGTTATATATTTGTTCATTGTGTTGTTAAGAAATACAGTTATGTTTGGAGATTTTAGACAAATAATTTTCTTTATTTTACATGAAATTTGATTCATTTTAATGTTCGATGCTCTGTATGCTCTACACGCGTAAGTATATACATACACGCGAAATGAAATAATTATACTGCATGTATAAAAAAAAATTTGTAATATCTTAATTTAATTTAATAATTTTTTATTTGAATTAAGTAATGGCTACTGAAATTACTTCGAAATAAATCATGTATAAAGATATTTAACTATATGTGTTATCTATTTCATAAAGTTTTTCTGAAATGACGGATCTGTGTTTTATAGCTAACATATAAATATACGTTAGATTAACATATAAAGGAATTTAATTAAGAGTGTTATTTCAAGAGAGTTATCTCGTGAACGACGGAGATGCAAATCTAATATTTAAAAATAGATTTATAAAAAAAATTATTGAGATAAAATGATAGCAAATAAGTGAAATCAATCACGCAGAACCATGAAATAGATATGCGGGGTAAAAATACACTTAGGATAATGGTAAGATACATATTGTTAAACAATATATACTTATCATTAACTTAATATTATAAGAAACATCATACACAACGTATATTTATGCAATTACAATGCCATTCAAAAAAGTGTATATCATAACAATATTCACATTACCGCCAATAATGAATAAAATTCGATGTAAATAATTCATTATGTACATCTTTTTTTACGTACATAGTAAATCATTTACATGAATTGTCAATTTGATTCATTATTGACTACAATGTGAAAAATATAATTCTGGTCGCAGTATATGACCAGATACGGTAAAATATGGTAAAGAAAAAAAAAATTGTTTTCCCTATTTCTCATTCAAATAAAGATAAATATACAAATTTAATAATCTAAACCTATTGCACGCTTATTTCTATCTAATTACATACAGTGTTATAATAATTTAAGTGTGCAAATAGATTGACGGAGTAGATAAAATACATTTTATATAATTAAATTCATATAAATTATCTCTGTATATGTTTTTCATTTTATTATGCTAATGCGTCGAATTCATAATCTCAAGTTGGCTATTTGCAGCAGCAATGTTTAATTAAATAAAACTGAATTTGGATCCTCATTGTCGAGCTGCTTTACATGCCTCAGAACGTCTTTCTTTGTAATTACACCTAGTAATCGCCTGCATGAGAAATTTTAATATTAGTTAAACACATAATGTGTTACTATGTTAATATAAATGATTTATATACATACCCGTTATGCGTAACTAGAGTTTGACGTAATCCCAATTTTCGAAACATATCAACTACAGTTTCCATGGGAGTTTGGTCTGTGATAGTGATAGGGGCCATATCCAATATCTTTTTTAATTTCAAGGGCGGTGGCGAATGACTTTGAATATTGTTTCCATTAGTAAAGACAACTAACGATTGCCTGCTAATATCTTCGATCATTCGCTTGGCATTGGCAATAGCAAGATTGAGGTCCCGTCGTAAAACAAAACCAACTAGATATTGAGATTCTTTCGAGACTATTACAGGAAAACCATTATGTTCCGTTTCTTTAAGCAAGTTCTCTACATCTTCAACCGTCATCGAATCTTGAGTAAGAACGTGAAGAGCTTCGTTTCGTCTAAAAGTTAACAAGAATATATATATATATGTATGCATGCACACAATCTTAAAATATACGAAAACATTTTTACATATTATCGTTTTGTGCTTACTTGGGTTGCATGACATCCGCTGCCAGAGTCGTATGTTGAAACTCATCCTTGCTATCCAGAAATGGATATCCATTCAAGCCAATATGAGCATCATAGATGCCTTGTTTCCCGAGAGCATCGCCGACCCATTTACTCGCCATGGCTGCAGCCATTAAAGGTACGATATACCGCACGCCGCCCGTTAATTCAAACATGATGACGACTAAAGAGACCGTCATTCTAGTTACACCCCCAAGAACAGCAGCAGCCCCGACCATCGCGTACAGTCCAGGTGTTATACAGTCGACGCCCATGGAACACTCCTCACTGAACATCCATATGTGAGGATAATTGTAAGCGAGTTGTTCCATTCCTATTCCGACGATACGACCCATTATCGCTCCCAGACAGAGAGAAGGAATAAACAAACCGCATGGAACTTTCATGCCGAATGTGAATATTGTCATAATGAGTTTTAATATCAGCGCCAGCACGAGTAGCCATATAGCTTTGTAGACTCCTGGACCAGCCGCGGCAATTTCGATTGCAGATTTCACAGCGGTGAAGTTTCTATTGTAATCACTGTTGAGCAGGAGAATTTCTCGAATAATTTAAATACATCCAATAATATATGTAAATTTTGAATCTTGACGATAAAAATTTATGCAATCGTTAAATTTGTGTATTTATAGTAATTTAAAGTTACGTGATATCTTCAATATAGAATAATTTAAATTAAATCACTAAATTAATATTAAAATCTTTCCTTATTTACTAACCATAACATATCCGCATTTGACACTCCACATTGGCTGAACAACAAGTAAATAAGTTGACTAGTGTTCATCCTTGTGTATGGATTAGGATATCCAATTACTGCTGTTACCACTGTTACAATTAACACTTCAGTAACAGGATATTGTCCCAGTTTGGAAGTTTTACGATATCGGCACCAAAATAAATTTGCTTTGATAAATAACGTTGCTATTATTCCCTATCGAAAATTCGCTCTTATAAATACATGCTTTTGAACAATTTTATAATATATAATGAAAGTTACGTACCCCAATTATACCGAGCATGACGAAAGGAATCAATTCAAAGAATATCCAAGGTTTATTATACTCTACATAAAACAATACTGAATGTTCATTTCCAAATGGATTTATGGAGCGTAGTACAAAAGCAGCTATCAAAGCACAGAAGAACGATCGCCATAAAGTTTTTAATGGAAAATAATAGCTGACCTAAAACAAACATAATTTTTATAACATAATTTCAAAATATTAGTACATTGTTTGTTTAGCTGAACTTGTTACACAGTTCATCTATTCTTCTTTTTTCTCCAACACGAAAGAAAAAAGGAGAAAGATGAATCGTGCAAGAAGTTCAGTTAAAACAAACAGACGTATTATTATTCATGTATACGTGCATACATGCACACATATAATTTATGACATTTTTTCTCGTTTTCAATTCTAAATTCATTTCAGGTATATTGACATATAATTAAAAATTACTCTGTATATTTTACTAAGATATCCCTAGCCTTGAAGAAACATTGTAACCGCTCTTTAAAACATAAGATTATTATATTTATTTTTCAAATACCTCTTCCAAGCTAAACAGGACACCGCCAATCGGGGCTCCAAAAGCGACGGAAACTCCCGCCGCGGCCGCGGCAGATAAAATTTCCCTCTTTTTTGCTTCATTCCTACCATATTTTGGAAATAGATAAGAAAATATATTTCCTATACAACATGCAATGTGTACCATGGGACCTTCCTTTCCCAAACTTAAACCCGCCGATACCGAAAGAATCAGACCTACTGACTTAATAATCAGTGTCCATTTACCGAGATATCCGCGAATAATAAAACCACTCAAAATAGTTTTTATCTGAAAAAAAAAAGGAAAATCTAAATAAACATTTAATGTAAGAATCATAAAGTAAATACATTAATTTACTAGATTATATATTTATTATACTATATTATTAGATTATGTATATTTCTGAAAAAGAAAAACTTGATAAATCTTTACTTCGGGTATTCCAGAGCCACAAGCGTAGGGAGCAAACATTCGCACTAGAGATGCAGAAAGTGCTGCAAACAGAAGCGCCCATGCTGTATAAAATAAATATGATATCGTATAAGGCCCTGCACCCTCTTTTGACTGACCAAATACTTGGGGCCATGTCCTCCACTACAAAAAAAATATTATATCTATTAAATTAACTAGAAAAAATTTTAATTAATAGAATATAGCTTTCGAAATTGTAATAAATTTGTGACTGAAATTGAATAGAGAGAAATATTTACCTGTGAACAGTTTCCACCATCGAACGTAGTCTCATTATAGCTCCAACAACATTGCTCTTTATTTAGCCAGAAAGCTTGTGGACAAATACCGAATTTGAGATCTGTCATCCAGGAAGCGCCAATATCTATAACACCAGCCGCCACTCCCGTAAAAAGCCCAACTAGTAAAACACACAGCCATCCCGACCATGCGTCGTGAGCTCCTTTTATTAAACCCCAAATAGAATCGTGCTTCTTTTTCACGATATAACGATGTCGCATTCGATCCCGCGCGATATCCCGTTGCCAATCGATAGTATGGAAATCATCATACTGCCCGATGCCAGGTATGTCATCAGAGTCAACTGAAACTATTAAAATAAATTTACAAAATTTCATAACAATAAAATATTTTTTTAATACTTGACTTTGAAAATTGTATTTTTTAATATTATTATTGTTATGTATATACAAAAAGGTTTAATAATTACATGAATAGTATCTCAGAATATTGTGTATATGTCAAAGATTAGCAAATAATATCTTTCTTATTAGTGATAATTTATCATAATTTCTCTATCCTCAATTTATAAAAAAAAACCCAATATATATTAGATATAATAGTTGAGGTAAGATTTTAAAATAGAGCAAAACGAAAAACGTACACACATTACATTTAACTGTTATGAGTTAACAAAGTAAATTTCAGCATTAAATACATATAACACCTACACATAAATACTTACCAGTTTTTCATTTTGTAATAAATTGTGGGACATGTATAAAAAAAGTGAAAAATGTCTTTAAGAAAAATACTAAATAAATCTTTGAAAATAACTCCATAATTAGAAATCAATTTTATTTTAATTATACATGATTAAAAGCACTTTACAAATTACATATCATATTCTGCCGAAAAGACAAAGACATCATACTAGATTTATGCATATGAAACTTTATTTTTACAATCAGTAGACAGTAATAGTGTAAATACTTTATCCAGTTTGAAAAATATCTTATTCAGATAAATAGATTTAGAATCGATATATCTATTTGGTTATTATCAAATCAACTATATCGTATCTATAGTTATTTTTATTAATTAGTTAAATTGGCATTAGATTGGCAATTAGTCGTGTTAACTTACACATTTTGCCACTATGACATGCCGCAAGTGCAAATAAATTTGGCTCGATTGTTTAACCGGTATCGCTCGGGATAAACCACAGATCAGATGAGCGGATCAACAGATAGGATGAACGGATCAACAGATGTCCCTCAAAGTTTCTTCAGTAGGAAGAGATAAAGTATGACGATATTTCAAGCTAGGGATACAGACACCAATAGGTATAAGACTACTAAACTCCGTGACAAAATTATGCAAGTGGATTTACATCTAGTTTTGCAAAATTTCTTTTACACTTCTTTATAATGCTCGCTAAAAATAAATAAAAGCACTACGTAATTGGATCATTCGGAATCGTGCGTGTGCGAAATCGATTGAAATAAACTTGAAACTTACTATGGGAAGATGCATCGTCGATGCGGACGCAATCCGACAACACGTTATTATCCGAATGAGACGTGTGATGATTGATATCCAGCATGTCGTCGTCGCTACTTAGATTTGTCTCGCGTCTTACAGTTCCGGTTCGTAGTCGTACATCCTCTGTAATGTCACCATACTTTATATTCTGAAAACACAAGATTTATCAGCTATATCTACAGATTCTGTCTTCACTTAACAACATTGTCGACTTCTGTAGTTCAGTAGCTGTGGTTTAAACACTGATAATTTTAGAACAAAAAGATACATTAAACAAAGTTCATAGAGATAAAACGTGCGATGATTTTTAAATAATTTCAACAACTTTTAGTACATACGAGTATACATAAAATATTAATACATGCAAGAAACATATGATAACGTGCAGAACTGTTAAGGGAAAAATAAGATAAACATTACACATTTTACAAAAAGATATTGATCTAGGCACAACGGCCTATAAACGTGCAAAGCAAGAAGATGCAGATTGGAACCAACAACATACCTTTGCATCAACCGAACGATATGTTGTAACGGCATTTGCATTCGAATGAAGAATTGCCGAGTTCAAGGACGCTGTACCTTTCAGCGGAAACTTCTCCATGGCATCATGATAATCTAATTTTACACAAGCAAGATATTATTTTACCCGTTTTACCGTCTTGAAAGAGAGATATACAGGGATCCGTCGTCAAGACTCTACGCGGCAGAGAGAAATCGAGAGCTAACAGTGCCATGCACGGTACTAAATATTCTATTTACGAGCGCGTCATTAATATGTAGCTCAATCAGCTTTACTGTAATCCCTCTTTAATCCTCCAAGTGGACGCTACACGATATAACAGGCATGTTCTTTTCAGCTCAACTTCTTGCACAGAGAGCACCTCATCCTTTCTCTCTTTCTCTCCAACGTGAAGAGAAAAAGAGGAAAGATGAACCGTGCAAGGGGCTCAGCTAAAAAGAACAGGCCTAATTAGAATGACATATATTCGTGATACAGCAAAATTGCTTCAGATACTTGATCCGTTATAGATTACACAGGTGTGCCATACGTTGTACAAGTAATAAAAAATTTCTTGTGAGAGAAACATTGGTTTTTCCTCTCAGACTGTCTCTCAACGATTATCTCAGTGATTTGCATCTTCTTGTTCGGAAAAGAAAAAAGAGATTTGTTAGAACATCGATTACACACACCATGCCAAACTGACACTGTCAAAAATGAAATGAAATCATTCCTGAAAAACGATTTCGAAACCAAGTGTAAAAAAAAGAGACGCACAAATAAATGAAATGAATACCACAGTACAATGCACTTGGGGACACCATATGACAACTTTTTCTCGCCCTCTCGGGCAAAGCGTGGACGTTACGAACATCGTCTCGCGGACGAGTCAAGCGCGAAAAGTACGTTGACGTTGGTCATGCTCTCGAAAACTGCGTATGTTTAGAGCCTACTTCCAAACTTCCCTTTCACATGACGTTTCATTCCTCAGGCGAGATGAGGTTATCTTGTCAACTTGTGTTGCACGCATACCGCTCGTGAACTTACCATTTTTAAAGGAACGTCCTCGTGTTTTATCTACATGCGCCGATCACTATGCCATGTCCAAGATTAGATTGTATCAGATCAATTTGAGAATTCCACGACAAGAACTCCGTCGGGCAGATACTCCACTTTACTCCACTATCACGTCCGATAGACCACCCCTTTCCCCTACGAAGTCAAAAGTAATTAAGGCAGGTTCTTTTCTTCTGCGCAAAAGTTGTGGCGCACAGAGAAGCGAGTTGACCAATCGTAGCTGAGAGTTTCGGAACGCAGCCTTGTATTCCTCGAGAATTCCTCGATTGTGATTGGCCTCATTTGTTGTATTGTTGGATTCTACAGATTAACATTAATCTCACTCATTAGGCTTGTTCGCGTTGCTTGAAATCCCCAAACATTTTTGCACTTGAAATGAAATAAATATATATTCGGCCGTTCGAAAGAGAGAAAGCGAAGATACTGAGTGCAAAAAGTGCAAGCAACGCGAACAGACCCATTGTCAGTAATGTCAGTTTAATTTACTTTTTTTATAGTTTTAAGAATTTTTTTTACTGTTCACCTTTCTCTAATTTCAAGGATCAGAAAAAGATAAAAAATAAAAGTTAAACCGAGATTATATATGTTAATCTGCATTGATAGAAATTAACTAATTAATTAAAATAGAAGAACGCGCAGTTTACATTAGATTTGTTCATGTAGCTTGAAATTCTCAAAAATTCGTGCACTTAAAACAAGATAAATATACATTGGGCGTTGGAGAAAGAGAGAGCAATGATTTCAAGTGCAAAAAGTGCAAGCGACACGAACAGACCTATTTATCACGTCTACGATCGGTTTCCGAAACTCATCAAAAATTATATGAACGCAAGAGCACGCTCAGCACGCACTTTACTGCACTTTGTGCATTGCCGGTCGAGTGTTGATGTTGTGACATTCTTCGCAATTATTCACCTCCTCACACTTTGACCGAAATAAAAACATCATTAAATGTGAAAATGATTAAACTAACGCAGGATATTAATTTGGAGAATTATACGCTCATCTTGCCGTCGGTGGCGGTCGGAAACGTCGGCCAGTTGTCCGTCGATTTACTCGTTTCGAATCTTAACCTTTCCAAGATCGGTCAAATTTTTAGCGCGTCATTCGTGCCGGTCGTCGGCGCGAATGCCTACAATGAACATTCGAACGAGCTCATCACGGCGATCGACATTTACGCGGGGATCAAGGAACGTATTGTCGTTATACAAATCCGCTCGCCGTACGTGGGCGAGCTCGTGGAATTCTTCAACGAGCTGGCGCAATTTGTCACCGAGAAAAAGATAGCTAAAGTAATTATTCTAATCTACTGTTTCGACAGTGTCATAACTTATGAAATGTTTTTTTTCTCCTCACAGGTAATAATTCTCGCGAGCAGTCATGATTATGTGAAGAGAGAGGTCCAGCCGCAGCATCTCAAGTTGAGATACGTCGCGTCTCCTGGCATACGCTCCAAGATCGGCAAACTCTTTGAAGACCTCAAGTGGATTCCGCATCAACCGGGAGTCGCGTCCGACCTGACGAGTGGAGAGGAAAGATTGCAGATACCAGGGGGTGGCTTCGCCAAGAGCCTCTTCAAGTTTCTGTCCGATGCCGACATTCCTTGCGCTGTCTTGTTCAAATTCTGCTCCGAAGGGGATAACATAGAGGACGCGATAGCTCTGGTGCGCTACTTAAATGAATGGATACGTGTGTTAGAAACAAGCGGTAGTGATAATTTGAAGTATCCACCGTCTTGGAAACACTTATTTGGGAAACCACCGTCGCAGGATATATATTGAATATGTATGGATATATTTTATATTCCGTTAATCTCGAAATAATAATATTTTTACTATGGGGGTTATACAAGCGTATATTTGAATTTAATATAAGATCTAAAATAGGAATGTAATTTTTTGTGTATAAAAGTAATAAAGCTACAAACTTAATTTTTATACAGCTTTGCTATGTAAAAATCAAGATTACGATATATTTATATATACATATATATAAATTTAATTCTTTATGGTTTTCAATGTAAATGCAATAAATTGTATATACCAACTTCTCTATGACGAACATGGAAAAATGTCTTAAATTTTATTTTATCAAGTTTTATCTCCGAAGGATAAATAATACTTATTTGAATACTTTGTTTAAACGTTTATTTTTTTAGTAACAAAAGAGTTTTCTACGCTAGAAGTTTGTACTTTGCGGAAAATGCCGAGTAGGACACAAGAATAGCTAAAGCAGCAGCTAAGAATTCCGAGTTTACCCAGGGACCGAGGAAAACACCGGGATTGTTGAGAACGACCACCGCCAAGGGATTCACGCTATCGGGATCCTCTCCATTTCTTATCGCTTTACGTACAGCGACGTATTTTTCCTCGTCATACAGTTTTATATAATAATCGCCGGATCTTGCCTTCTTAATGTCTTCCGTCCAAGATATCTGCGGCACGTGCAAAACAATTTCATGAGTATTACATTATCATTGATGATTTCTACTAAAAGATCGAGTTAGATACTTTGTTTCAAATTCAATTTTCGATCAATAGTTTAAAACAAAAATAAGTAACTTGTTCAGTATCTCTAAATATGTCATTATTCTCATTCCAATCGTCGTGTAATTTACAATCTTTGTTTATTTACAGATGTACCTATCTTGATTCATTTATGTCAAGACAAGAAGTGTCAAAAAGATTGTATTACCTGATATTTATTATCGGCGCTCAATCTGACGGCCGGCAACGTCTTGCCCTCGACTTCGGCGTACAAACTGATTCCCTTTACACCGTTGCTGCACTTCAACACGAATTGCATGGTAAAGGCGACGTTCGTGAGGACCGTCGCGTCCTCCGTCACATATGACGAAGCGACGATCTCGGGCTTCTGACAGGTCTCGGCGAGAGCAGCCGAAATTATACCCGTTAACGCGCACAAGAAAATAATTTTATTCATCTTGCAAGTTTTGTCGGTTCTCTCAAACAACTTGACAACTGTCGACGAGAAATGTTGGTTGGAGAATGCGCCTGATGCCAACGTGCGCCGACTGTGCGCCAATAACTCCAACCAGCCACCAACTGACGTGCCACGTCGATGAGATTGGCGTAACTCGTGTTTCCCTCGTTTAGACTACTTTCGATTGGTGCTTTGATCCACCACGTGTTTCAGACTAACCGCGCGAGGGAAAACTTGAATTATTATCGATAAATATTTATAATATACTTAAATAATAAGTTATTTTCTTTAAAATCATAAACTATTAAATTCAAATAGAGTTATTTAAAAAGATAATGGAAAAGTACAAAGAAGAATAGAAATATAATTGTAGGTTATATAGAGGTTATTAAAGAGGCATTAAATTATAAATTAATAGATAACATGAAAATTATGTATTAAAAATTCTTTAATTATATAAATCGATGATTTATTTAAATATATATTTAACATTTTTATATTAACAGAGATACAATTTTAATATTACTTTAACAAATAATGAAATTTCTGTTTTACAGATGTAGATTAAAAATGTGTAGAGGTATTAAATTATAAACAGACAATCAATATAAAAATTAAAGATTTTTAGATCATATAAGGTGATTTATTTAAATTTAACATTCTTATATTAATAAAGATAAGATTTTAATATTATTTTGCAAACTGCACGAACTGATGAAATTTCTATTTCATTATTTATTTTTACCATTGTAGATATAATAATAATAATATTTATACATGTAAATTATTGAGTTAAAAATGTTTATTCCCTCAATCTATTTTACGATGTCTTCGTTCTGGCAGTGAGAGCGAGATGATGTAATCAATTGTAATCCACCCGAGTCTACCATAACCTCAAATTGAAAAATGTACTTGCACCGTCAATGCGCGATTATTTGACTGATAGTACGATAAGTTCTGGTGTAATTAATATTTATTTATCTAGATTTATTTTTGTCGCATCGATTTTTCTATTCGCGCGACGATGACAGTCGAGAATGAGAAAGCGGACGAAGGAAAAAGGAATGAGAACGGTGCTGGCGGAGGAGCAGCCGCGGACAACGGCGATTTATGGGGATCTGATATGTATCCGGAGAGGAGAGGAGCGAAATTGAAGCGTAACTGGTGGAAGTGGTTAATTGGCGCTCAGGGACGAGAATCAATAGACAAAAACAAGTGCGAAGACAATGTTTATAGATGTATAAAAAAGAGTAAGACATTCTCTTATTTATATAAAAGGAAGTAGAAAGTGAATTAGCGATGCAAATTTATTTCTAATTGCTAGAACCTACTGTATTATTTCAACATATTTTCCATTCTTTTCAAATAGAATCTATCTATCATTTAATTTTACTGTTTATTCTATCTAGTCAAATCTAATATTATTTTTTCATCATTTTAATCATGTGTTGTTTCTAGGTCCTATAATAAAACTTATGATGGGAGCACTGAAGAGTTCTGGATGGTTTGTAACTTATTCTTTCATGTTGCATATATATGTGTAAATTTATAATTTCATTTTGTTTACTGTTTACTAGATTAGATTATTATTGATATTCCAGTGAAATAGATATTCGGCGACATATTTCTTGTGAGGTGTGTAATCCGATAGTAACTGGTGGATACGATTCAGAATTTAATCAGGTAAATATTTCTTTTAGTCGCTTAATTAAAATTTTATTTATGCCAAATGTTTTGCTGATAAAATATTTTGTATCATATGTTTGTCGATATGTAAAAAAACAATCTGTCAAAAAAAAAAAAAAAAGATTCTTTTAATATATATTTGTATTTTGTATATTATTGATAATTATACATGCTAAAAACAATAACAACTTCTTTCCTTTACAGATAGTTGTCTGTCAAAATTCGGCGAGTAGTGAAAGCATGGTTCGGGGAGTTCTTTTACATGAAATGATTCATATGTTTGA